ACGCCTCTGAGCCGGGGTTCCCCAAGCTCCAGCTTTTCCAAAAGCGGCGGTTCCCTCCCTGCAGAGAGGCCGGATCGCGTGGAGCTGGTGCCGCTGCCTCCCTGGCAGCCGGTGGGCGAGAACTTCACCCTGAGCTGTAGGGTCCCGGGAGCCGGACCCCGCGCGAGCCTCACTCTGACCCTGCTGCGGGGCGCCCAAGAGCTGATTCGTCGGAGCTTTACGGGGGAGCCGCCCCGAGCGCGGGGCGCGGTGCTCACCGCCACGGTCCTGGCGCGCAGGGAAGACCATGGCGCCAATTTCTCCTGCCGCGCGGAGCTGGATCTGCAGCCGCACGGCCTGGGGCTGTTCGAAAACACCTCGGCGCCCAGACAGCTCCGAACCTTCGGTGAGTGGGCACGGGGACCCCATGCGAGGCCGGCAGGGTGTCGAAATTTCGAGGCATGTGTATCTGAACAGTAATCCTTACTTCAGCACTCAGCAGCGGGTTTGATTTTGTCTTTTTCTTCAGGGTGATAATACAAGATGTACATGGTAAGGGCTTAGTACTCATTGAGTGCTCAGTACATAGGTTCAAATTCTGAGCTGAGCGTGGTGCCGCACGCCTGTCATCCCAGCACTCAGAAGGCTGAGGCAGAAGGATCTCTGTGAGCTCAAGACCAGCCTGGGCTCCATAGCGAGGCCTTGTCTCACAAAAGCAATAATAACCATAATAATTTCAAGCTCTGTTCTTCCACTCCTAGCCCTGCCTCCAGAACCCCCTCGCCTCCTTGGCCCCAGGCTCTTAGAAGTGGGCTCAGAAAGCCCGGTGAGCTGCATCTTGGATAAACTCTTTCCCGCCCCAGAGGCTGGGGTTTACCTCGCTCTGGGAGATCAGAGGCTGAATCCTGATGTCACCCTCGAGGGGGACACCCTCAGGGCCACGGCCACAGCCACGGGTAGCGCAGAGCAGGAGGGCGCAAGGCAGCTGGTGTGCAACGTGACCCTAGGGGGCGAAAGCCGCGAGGCCCAGGAAAACGTCACTGTCTACCGTAAGAGGAGTGGGGCGGGGCCTCGGCGGCTGGAGGTGGTCTGGGCGTGGGCGGGGCCAATAGTGGGCTAGGCTCGGGGTTCCTAAGGGGCGGAGCAGGCGGAGCCTGAGTGAACTGGAGACCCTGGGGCGCTCCCATCCCCTCCCCGGGCGACCCCTCGCGCTCCGTGGTGCACCGGCGTCCACGGACTGGCCTCCCACACTCCCCCCAGCGATCCGCTGAGACCCCATCTAGAGCCTCAACTATCTTGACTCACAAGCGCTGTTCCTGCTCCACCCAGATCCCTGGTAACCGGGTGCCTCGGCCGTTCCCACGGTGCCTTCCCGAATGCAGCTCCGTGTCTCATTTCCATGTTCTTCACCCACATTTGGAGGCCTCCCCTGACCCGGCCTCCTCTCTCCCTAGCCTTCGCCCCAACCTCAGTCTCCCCCTCTCCTGGCGATCTGCCAGGACCTCAAGAACAGGCGCGGTCTCCATCCTCCAATCCGGAGTCCCCTCCTCCCTCCCAGCCTCGCAGGGCGCACCCTAGACCCCATCTCTGCCCTCCCCTCTCCCTTCCCCCACGCTTCCCCGCCACTTCCTCGGAGCCTCGGGGATCAGGGCTGTCTCCGTGGCAGAGCCACCCTCGAGGTCCCGACTCGGGGAACACCTCCAAACCCGAGGCTTGGGCAGGACGCAGGACTGCTGGGTTCTTTCTGGCCCGCGGCCCCTGGAGGTCCCGGGGAAGCCCTGCGTTCGGCGTAGGGGTGCCGC